CCGACTGCGTTTTTCGGCATTTTACGTGATATAAATATCGTGCCTCCTACGCGAGAAATGAGATACTACCCAAAACCATCCGAAGTATTGTCCATAATCGATATATCGAGTGGTATTTTAAATCAGTCTACAAGATTCCGAGTGTATTTCAACTGTAGTTTCTCTAACAAAGAGTGACGAAGGGTCAAAGCTTCTCTTCTTCTTTAAAAGTACGCCACCCACAACCTGGCATACTGGTAACAAAAAAAGAAGATACTAAACAAGATGTCAAAACAAGTGAAGGACGGACGAATCCAAACAGACAGGATGTTAGGAAACATTTGATTGCCATTTGATAAGAACGGCTTCGAAAACTGCTGCTGGTTCGAAAGAAAAAACCTTTTATTTTGGCCAGTGTGCTCTTAATGGTTAATGTAATCAGTCTGAACAGAAGAAAAGACGTATTTGCTCAGCAGTGGCGCTTATCACTACTCTACTGAGACTTATTCGAGAATTAGAAACTTTGGAAATAACCACACGTTGAAACAGTGAGCATTATAAAAAAAATGAGAATTCACTTACTTCAGCCTGGGTGGCACCTCAGGTGGGGCTATTATCAAAGGATATGTGGAAAAAGATGGAGGAAATAGCTTCCTTGTGAGCAAGAACGACATCATTATCTTAGTGAAAACTTGCTACTCAGAAACCACGTGTAACTAATATTTGACTCTGTTTTCAAACAACGAGAGAAGGAATAGGTGGGTTATCATGGTGATTAGTTTGATATAATTTATAACGTTTTTGTAATTTGATTGGTTAATGGCTTTGCCGGGACTGTAGAGGGACCTTCAAAATCAGTGCTGGAAATGCAGAGTATGACCTGCTTCAAATAGCTCTTTCGTGCTCCAAAACGTTGACGTAAAAAATGCCACAATCTGTCAAATGAAGACATTTTATTTTCATATGGTAACATTTTACCTGTCGTGAAGCGTTTTTTAACATATAAAATGAGCGCCAGAAGAAAAACGGCAGCAGCTACAGGCCCTCCAATGTAATACCACTCCAGTGAGCTGCCGGAAGGAACCTTTGCATTTCCTGAAATAAGATAATTTGAGAGACTTAGTAGGGAATTAATTTGCTGATCGGCATTAAAAATCAAAATTAATATCACGAGCTATCAAGATAGAGAACTGATTTTTTTGTTTGTTTGCTCCAACAATTGACCTTGTTCACTGCCCGCGTTGGGTGGCCAGGAATAACGTTTGGAAAAACAGACTCAGATGTGTTAATGAAAAAAAAAAGGGAAAAAAAGGCAGATAGACAGAGAAAGATTGATGATAGAGTTAGAGAATATGTATAACATGCTGCTACTGTTTCAAACTCGTTTTCATTTCAAATTTCTGTTCCCAAAAGACCAAAAAAAAGCTGGAAAAGTTTTGTGAGGAACATAAAAGGCGGATTTGTATTTTATAATAATGACCTCACATAGTTAATGACTGAAATTATATGTAGTTCCTTAAACAGCTTACCTTTGACATCTACTGTCACAACAGAGCGAGCCACATTTCCTAGCTTGTTACTTGCTTCACAAGAATATTCACCACTGTCCTCTTCTACAACTTCAGTACGAGTAAGTTTACTCGTTTTCTCATCTAATCGTGTATCTATAACTGCTCTTTCTGTGATCAAGTTTCCATCTTTTTTCCACGTTACTTTTATTGTTTCTTCGTTGACTTTGCAGGTCAATATGAGGGCATATCCTTTAGTGAGTATTATGTATTTCTCTGGAACAACTTGAGCAGAGGCTTTTCCTGCGTTGAAAAAGAGGTGATTCATTAGAATGCGAGTGTCACATTAAAAAATACAACTACATTATCAACACTCAAAAAAAAAACAAAACAAAACAAAACAAACAAAAACATGGAAACGAAACGAGTCAAATGTGATCATTTCTAGGAATGCCTCGGATGTGTTGCTTTAGATGAAAAAAAAAATGAGAAAAGTGTTTCCAAGTGAGTTTCGAAAGAGTTTCAGAACAAGCTTGAAGCCTTTATGTTTTCAATTTCCTGGTTACTGTCTCACCCGCCCCAGATCCTCCACTGAACTACTAAATTAAGGTCTTGATAATGTTCCATCTTCTCTTGTTCTTTTTTCTACACCCTCGTGTCAAATTGTCACAACAAGTGAGTCATGCAACACGAAGTTTCTTTCTTTTCCAGCACTGCGGTAGCGGGTCTGATTTCAAGAAGGTGATCGTCCGTCTAAACTCTAAAGTACTACAACAACTTCATCTGGTGGTATTCTATCACTTCCTGAGGAGAGTGAACTTACTAAATTTTATCACATAGACTGCGGTATTATACAAGGATTTCCGGCCCTGAGAAAAGCACTAACAACACACGTTTTCTCGTTTTTCACACGTATTTCTCAAGCTGACACGGTTAAATCTCCATGCATAAATTGTAGATATCATAGACGGAACTAGAATCAAGAGCTGCTATGACAATTCAATCGATAGAGAATACTTCATGGAAAGTCTGTCCGTATGGTATTTTACGCACGAATTGGTAGTATCGGAAATCGAACAGGTGTGCGCAGCGAACCAATGAGATTTCTGGTACAAACCGACTCGCTGTTTTCTCTTTTGTGTTTTTGCTCTGCATGCTTTCTATTCCGCATTATTCTTCACAGAGGTTCTTCAGTCATCTTTTGTAAGTAATTAGATTTAATAAACAGTCCTGAGAGCCGATTATAATGTTATGAACGGAAATTATGCCAGTGAAGGATTAATTAGAATAACATCCGCTTTACGGGTGAAAAAGCGCGATACGCGGTTCCTCACACGTGGAAAAAGCGATATGCACCATTTTATTGGCTCTCGGCTTCTTGGACCAGCTTGCGAATAAATTTTAATTTCATGCCCTTTCAGCGTGTAAATCTGTAAATCTTAAATCTGTTATGTTCTCCATCCTCAAGTCACATTAAGAGTTTCCAAACTCATAAATCAACTTTGTGGATAGATGTAAGAGAATTGGGGGTGCGAAGGAACTCTTTCGAACACTTAATCGCTATTTGACCTCCGATTTCGGTCACGGATAGAAGCGTATTTGCTTTAAGTATTTTCTTTTGTTTTAGTTTTGTTGTTCAATGCTGAGAACGCCAGTTGTGTGGCGCTTCGTTTTTGCTCTCCTCCGAGATTCTGGATCTCTCCGTTTTGGAAGTCTCGTCTTCAAATTTTTCCAGTTTAAGAGTACATTGCATATCGTCAAGTATTTCGAATCAATCAACTCTCTATAGCGCCATCACCTGTCCTTTTTCCTTAACGTTTCTTTCCAACCCAAATCTACGCAGTTCTTTGCGTGTGTAATCAATTTTTAGTATTAAGCATTGATATCATCCGTTTTTTTGAAGGTCATGTCCCCGTTGTTCGAAGGGTGGATAACACTATCCGTCGGATAAAATTCTATCTGGTGGATAACGTCATCATCGTCTTCATCATCATCATCGTCATCCTCATCATCATCATCATCGTCATTATCAACGTCATCATCATCATAGTCATCATCATCATCATCGTCATTATCAACGTCATCATCATCATCATGAACAATATAATTAATTCTTAACTTACCATAAACACGCAGTACTGCTGAGTAAGCAGCTGTATTTGCTTTGTTTTTTGCTGTACACTTGTAAGTCCCATTCATCTCTTTCGTGACACTTGGCAATACCAGGTTTGATTCTCCTTCGTGTTTGAATTGATTGATACCAGATGGCAGGTTACCATTATTAAAAGTCCAGACCAAGGTTGGTTTTGGAACACCTGAGGCTCTACAAATAAGGTCTACACGGTCTCCTTCGGTAACATATCGGCTTATCGGAGGCGTAATAATCTGGGGAGAGACTTGAAATAAATAGATCACCAAGTTAAACAAAGGGCCGTATTGTCCATTTTAACCCCCTCTCCCCCGTCCCTAATCCAACCCTAAATTAACTAGTTTCAAAATAAAAGCAAACTACAATATTGCCAAGTCTATTTTAATCCAACTTCATTTTTGCTGATTTAGCAAATTTCAACTCCATGAAAATAAGTTGGCATGTTCTCACTCTTTAAATGTTATCATTATTTGATTACTTTTTTTATTATTTTAATCAATTTTGAACTTTTGTGGTTTCAAGCCCTTAAATCTGATTTAGTACCTCAGAATCAAATTTTGTTCTTATCTTTTTTATATGTAAATGAGAACCGTACCGTACCCGCCACTTCGATCCAGAAAGTTGAGTTTTTGCTCCCTTCGCTGTTATTGGCCCTGCATGTGTATTTACCAGAGTCTTCCAATCTCGCTTGACGAATCCTGAGAATGTTGTTGTTACTGATATTCAACCCATCCTTAGTCCAGCGTATCTCAGGTGTAGGGACACCGCCTAGAGAGCATTTGAACTCAAGCGGTGAATTATATGTAACCAACTGATCCTTGAGCTCAGGATTAATTTCAGGAGGACCTGGGCATAGAATTAACAAACACAATTCAAAAAGGTGAAAGAATGAAAAAAGAAAACAAAGCAAAACAAAAAAAAGAAAAAGAGAAGAGCAACTGAAGGAAACAAACGTTAGTCAACATTTACCTGTGACATATGAAAAATTGATTGAATTTTCCCTTCACTGTTTTTAGCGCCGATGTGTATCAACCAGCATCTGCATAACTCACTCGATTAATCGTGAGAGTGTTTTTGTCACCAAGATTCAACCCATCCTTAGTCCAGAGTATCTCAGGTGAAGGGGAACCGCTTCGAGAGAATTTGAACTGAAGCGGTGATTTATATGTAACCGATTGATTCTTGAGCTCAGGATTAATTTAATGTAAATTGACCACCATAAAGATTTTTAAAGCTGACGTTTCGACCGTTAGCCCTTGGTCAGAGCTAAAACTCGAAATATGAGCTTGGAAACTACTAGCGGTGGCCAATCTACATTACCAACTCGGTTGGTAAAACCAAAGTGTATTTTACAAAGAGTTTGGAAGTTAATAAAGGGACAGTCGACCAACAAATGGGTCCTTTACTTTCCCCTCATACATGAGACCACTTACAATCACAAGGCCGTGATTCCTGAGTTCTTGAGCAGTCAAATTCTAGAAGTAAGATTATCCAGGTAATCTTTTAAAAGTAATAAACGATTGGAGATTAAGTCATCTTATTTCTGTTAGAGAGAACATCCATTGAGAAAAACTGCTGAAGGTTCCTGCCTAATTATTATTGCAATCTATACATAAGAATTAATCCAATTGAATAGAGGCTTATAAATGCTGCATAGTTTTTTGAAGTTGTAAAATAATGGCGAAAACCCGCCATTGCACTTTCGAGTCACAAATTCTAAAAAACTCCCTCTTGTCACTTACCGACTCTTTGCCGGTACTGGATAGCGCACACTTTGCAGACACTCCAAGATGACCACGCCATACAACCTTTGAAAACAATAAGTTGCGCGCAAAGAGTCATATGTCATACTATCACTCTACCTATGCTCTTTACTTCCTTTGCTGCATTAATCTCAGCTTGTCATAAAGGATACCAAAATACGTAATTATTAGGGTCGATATCCCCAGTTTTTAATTTCCGAGGAGACTTCGAACTAATATCTCCAAGTTAAAAAGATTGATGGCTTGAAGCTTATACATTACCCAACTTACAGTTCCCTATTTATAAGCATCATTGGTGTTCTCTCAACATCTGTCGGGGATTTATTATGTTATAAGCCAGGGAGAGTGACACTGTTTTCTGTTGCTCAAATGGATGACTGTGCAAAAATGTTAAAAGAAACAAACTAGGATTTTAACGTTTTCAATTTTTAATTTTCAACTTTACTGTAAAAGTTCCACTAGTATATGGCAGAAGCCTGAAGCGTTGAAATTCAATTGTTGTAACAATTAAAAGTTTTATTTCTATGCAACATCTTTGTCCACGTATCCACTGATCCACAGAGAAGAGTATCCTGTCTGTATCCCTCTACTGAGATCCATTCGTTTGTTAAACCATCTTTATCGACCCTTTATCCTGCCTACTGATAAATGATAGTTCAAGCATGGCTACTTACAATCTGTTATATCAGTTAGGATGAGGATGTTAGGTGAACATGAAAAGAAAGATTCACATTCGGTGAGTAAATGAGTGGCCAAATATAGCCTTGGAATACTTGACTACACACATCATAAGCTTAACAACTCGTCGCACTCACCCGCTTATGAATCCGGAAAGAATGACGTGAAAGAGAAAAACAATTTTGAAAAGATGTTAATCCGTTTATCTATTCATTTTTTTTTTTATTTGAACCAACCAGTTTGTTTGGTACGTCAATATTTTACATTGAAATCGATAATTATGTAACAGAATTTGTTAAATCAAACAAACAATCAGCCAAAATGACTGATATCTGATGATAATTATGCAAATATCGTTTATAAGAGAGATATAATAATACTGCCACATCAATAAAATCGTTTTGATGGTAACATTTTAACAGTAACAGCTATCACTAACTGTCATTGATATACACCCACATATTCTCTTCCTCTATTTACGATTTCAATTTGCTGGTCAGTCAACAGGTAGTGCAGAGAGTCGATGTGTGTTGAGCCACAGGAGGGTTCTTTATTTATAGGAACGGATGATATTGATAGTTACCTTCCTCTTTGGCTAGGCAGAAAAGATGAGATAAGAAAGGAGGAGCAGTTAATGATGTAAATAACGTAGCTTAAGGTATGGAATAACAATTCATCGTAAATTCTAACCCACTTTTTGGAAAGGAGTTAAGATTCAATTCTTTCTCAACACATGGAAAGCGAGCATTAGCGCCTAAATTTACATTTCCCAGAGAAGGATGTAATGTTGAAAAAAGGTTCTCAAGAAACTGAAAGATAAAATTGTCAAGGATGGGTTGCATTTCTAAATCTCTGTTTAAACTTTTTCATGCCGGTTTCAAATTAAGGGTTTGTCTGATTTTATGCGTCGTATGACAAGCCCTTCAATTACTTGTATTTAACTTTGTTTTACTTCTGTTCTGCGTTTGTCAGACCTTATAATGATCCTAAGTTAGACACCGCGAACTGTTTTGTTTGCGGTCTTCGACGAGATTCAGTCGCTATCAGGAAGAAGAAAAAGTTATATTACTGAATCGAATGTTCCTCGTCAGCGGTCACCAGCAGATCAGAGGATGATGGGCCAGTTATAGAAGTCTTTTAATAAAAATATACCGAAAGCTCGCGTTGAGCTCAAAATTCGAAATAAAGCGTAAAATAAACTTGACACATATTGATGGATGTCCTCGTAAATTTCATTGATTGAAACTATTCTATTAGAAGCAAAATCAATTTGCAATAGGTAACATCGCAGTTTTGCTACGCCTAGTCCTGCACTACAGCTTCTCAGCCAATTTGATTTCACATAATCACATGCGTTTTCCAGCGCTGGATGTAAAATGTTTGCTTTGAATATGAGTTTCCCTAGGCTCCACTGATTTTTCATTGTTTTAGTTCGCCGTAATGATAACTTGGCTTTGTTTTTATAACTGTTGATCGAAATGCACTCCGAAAAGAGTAAACAATATATATATATGTGGTCCAGTTGAACATGGGATCTTAAGTACTAAAGAAAAATTAAATTGTCCTCAAAATGATTATTAAAAATAAGAGTCGCGCGAGATTAACTTAATCCAACTTACCAGCTGAGTGGTTGCAGAAGTGGCATGTAAAACAAAAAGTATTAAAATATAATTAAAGCGTACATCTGTGGCTCAAAGACATCCAGTTGTTTATTGAGAAATATTGTGTACTTTTCCCTTCGTTTATCAGTTGAATATGTGAACGTAAACGCACTGTAAAGGTGCCATGCAAATACAAATGCTTTAAAAGAAAATGAAACATGTACTTACGTCCTAATCGTTTTTCACATTTGCCAAGGCCAAGGAATAAGAAAAAAATACATCAGGAACAGTTTCAAGTAAATGACACCTCAATTTCACAGTCTACCACAGATACCCTTAAATCTTTACCTAAACTGAGCCACTGGATAAAAATCAGATCTCTAGCTACCAATGGCTCACACTGAATAAATATTTTTATAAGAGCCCAGTTCAAAACGACTTCAACCAGTTTCCAAGGAAACAAGGAAGCAAGGCGAATATCAGAATGCCATGTTTATTAGTGATCATAATTTCTCATATATATATTTGTTCCCAATAATATCAATAAAAAGAAAATTGTAACTTTCATTGTCACCAAAGCAAGCGATAGTGATACAAATATGTTACATGATTGTTACTGCAGCAGTGAAATCCTCCAATAACTATAAAAAGAAAACATACTTACGATCTGTTTGCCCGTCAAGGTAGGAAATAAGAAAAAGAGATATGTTAGTTAGTGATACACATTTGTTATTGCCCACATAGTTCTTAAGTTTGGTATCGTTAAGTAAAAGTGTATTGTTAATGGAACAGCCGGTAGTATGACTAGGCGTCATGTTACACTTGCCACAACTGTTGGGTATTTCAAATGGTTACCATGTAGGCAGTGAATGGAGATGTCAGACCGGATAAAAACCTTGAACATACTGTCAGCCATTAGTAAAAAAGGACATTTTGTCGAGGTATAGCTCTTGGCCGCAATTAAAAATGATGACCGGGGCGAAAACTATGACGATTCATTTTAAGTTAAGCTTTTTCTGTTACAAATCTACTCTTTCGCAAAAATGATGATAAGTCTGACGAGGGTCTCGCACATGATGATCGACGATTAGTACCTGGTTTGTTAGAATTGTGAAAATAAATGAGGAAAAGTAAAGAAAAAGCTACTTACGTCCTGTTTCGTCTAATGAGACGTTGGTGAACCGGATGAAAAAGAAGAGAAAATGAAGCAACTGAAATTTACTGCCAGTTTAAAGCCGTTGTCAGATAGTGGGAGGGCCGGACGGAAAAGTATTTGGGTCGAGGTTATGACGTACAAACCGAGCGCAGCGCAGAGGTCCGACTGCTATGACCGAGAGCCAAATATTTCCGGTCCAGTCTGACCTAACTCAGTCAATAAGCATTTTATCGTATGACTAATAAGTGTTGGAAATTTCGATTTTTTTTTCCTTAAATACGACGCGAGAGACTGGCGCGCGCACATAAACGATTCTACAATTCAAACTTTTCCTTTCTGATTTCGAGTTAGAACAGGAAAATCATATTTCATCGAAAAACGTGGCATTTGCCTCTATTTCTGCTCGTTAATGTCACTCATTTTTTGCCACAACAGCGGACGAAGTATTTTATTTTTGTATTTTTTGTACAAGTGCACTGGGGCCGAGCGGCTTTTTCCGGACCGGGAGACCGTTTCTTAAGGGTTCCCTAACGGACCCGTAAAGCTGTTGTGCTCTCCTTCAAGATGAAGGTTTCAAAAGTTTTGAAAATTCTACGATAAAACTATTAGCTAGAGAAACAAAATTGACTAGTTATATTGCCAGGCTGCTTCTCTATCCCTGAAAAGGTTACTTCTGAAGTATTCCCTAGGGCCGTTACAGTTACTGGGCACTTCGAGAAACGGACGCCGGCTCACATCAACCCGTCCGACCCTATGCAAGTTAGCATTCACTCAGGTATTCTATGGAATTGCGGATAGGGCCCTATGATAGAAACGATTAAGCATATTTTCGGACATCAAGAGAGTATAAGCTGGATACAATAGACTATAATCATCCCGAATTTCTTCAAGCAAAGATGTGCCATGCAAAATGTAGATTTTAGATAAGGTGAGTTGTAACTGAAGTTTCTCATACTAAGTGATCAAAATACAGTGGAATTTTCTGAATTTTAAAATACAGTGACGGTTTGAATTGCACTTTTAATCACTGGTCACGAGAAGAAACTACGCGTCTTAAGCACCCGAAATGCTAACTGACTGAACAGAAGATCTGAACTGGTCAGAAAATTTTTTTTGCGAATATTGAAGAGAGAGTAGACAAACTAGAACACGAACTACTATTAGTCAATGAACTCAATTGTCAGTTACGAACACGCCGCACTTCATTTCACTTTTAATTAGTGTCAATCTAGATATTTAACTTGCCTCCGGCGAGCAATTCCAATCCTATAGAAGCCATTATCGTAACTAATCACTATTTAAAAGCAACGAAAATGTTACTTACTCACTAATTTCCCAAATTTCGGTCAGTGCGCAAGATTAGAAGGAAAATGAAGAAATAAAAAAAGAAAGAAAAGGTAGTAATTACACTAGAGTACGTACGCAACTTGATAAATACCCATCATTAATAAATACAACCCTAAAAAAGTAAATTTTGATCTTCACATGTTTTTTTGAAGTAAATTATGTGATAGCAATCATAAAGGATACTTCTAATATTATGTTTCTGTCCATCTGTGTCTGTGGCTCTACGCTACTTTAAGAGCAACAAAGAAAATACAGCTTGAATT